CACCCTAAAATTAGGCTATGAAATAATTAAGCTTTTACAATAGCTCAACCTCTCAATTAGTTATGGTGAATTTCTTCAAATTCATTATAAATGAACCATCCAAACTTTGGGATAAAAAATCATTAAGAATGAATATTCGATCTCATTAATTGGTGAATTCAATATGTCCTTCTTACTAAACCAACCAAACTCTTGAATTTGAACTCATTAATAGTTTTAATAAAACTCAACCTCTCTAGTGGTAAGTTCATCATGTCCTTCAAAATTAGGACTACCTACTCAATTCTGGGTTATGAACTTATTAAGAATATATATTCAGCCAAAGTCGGTAAATTCATCAAGTCTTTTTTACTAAGACCACCCAAAAATTGGGCTGTGAATTTATTAAGAGTTTCCTAACAAGCTCAAACTTGGCATATACATCATTCATCATAGAGATAGGAAAATATAAATACACACTATAAGTCTTTCCATGGCTTTTTTTGGCCATATTGAACTTAGATAACTAAGTTGAGTATCCACCATGAATTCCTCAACCAATGGGCTTTAAACCCATCCCCATCGACGAATATAGGACCAATTTCCTACTTAACCCTTTTGTAAGAGGATTGCTAGGTATATTTCTGACTTCACATACTCTAAAGAGAGTACTCGATTCCTTATTAAGTGTCTAACAAATTCATACCTTATGTGAATGTGTGTTTTTTTTACCATTGTATGCTTGGTTCTTAGCCACACATATCACAACTTATTGAATTACACAATAAAGAAACTAGAGGAATCAGTCTTCCCTACAATGAAATTTTTGTTAATAAATTTCTAAGCCACTCAGCTTCTTGTCTAGCTAAATCAAGAGTTATAAACTATGATTCCATTGTAGAACGAGCAATACAGGTTTGCTATGCAAACTTCTATGAGATTGATGCTCCACCTAAAGTAAAAATAAACCATTCGTAGAGCTTACCTCATCACTATAAAAAACCCAGTTGGTGTCATAATATCCTTCTAAAACCACGTGATAGTCAACAAACTCAACTTTTCAATCTATCGTACCCTTAAGATACTTAAGTAAACATCTAAGAGCAACCCAATGTTCACTACTTGGGTTATGAGTATATCTACGAAGTCTTCTTACATCGTAGGCAATATCAGGTCAAGCATAGTTCACTAAGAACATTAGGCTTCCATTTATTTTAGTATATTCTATTTGAGAAACACTACTTCATTTATTTTAAAGAGATGTATGTTAGGGTCATAAGGAGTTCAAATAGGGATGACATCAAAACTATCAAATTTCTTTAACACATTCTCAATATAATGTGTTTGATTTTAAAAAAATCACTTTTCAGTTTTGGTAACTTTGACTCCTAAGATTATTGACTTCTCCCAAATCAATCATCTCAAATTTAGTGAATAAGAAACTTTTTATTTTATTAATGGACTCAATGTTAATACTGAAAATCAATATGTCATCAACATATAAACTTATGATGATGCAATCAGTACCGAACATTCTTGAATACACGCATGCATCTGAACAATTCACAACAAAACCAAAACTAAGGATGGTTTTGTGAAGTTTCTTATACACTGTTTAGGAGCTTGCTTAAAGCCATAAAGAGACTTTTTAAGTCTACACACTTTGCCTTCCATACCAAGTGCCTCAAAGCTTGGAGGTTACTCCATATAGGTCTTTAATCTAGATCTCCATTCAAAAATCCAGTCTTTACATCAATTTGATGTACTTGCAACTTATAAATAGAGGTTAGTACAAATAATGCAATGATCGTTGAGTTTTTTGTTAAAAGAGTAAGTATCGAAGAGTCTAAACCAAATTTTTGATTAAACCTTTTGACAACTAGCCTTGCCTTATACCTCTAGATTGAACCATTTGGTCTGAGTTTCTTCTGGAAAACCCATTTATTGCTGATAGGTTTAAATCCTATAGGCAAGTCAACTAATTCCCAAGTATGATTAGACATTATTGATTCTAGTTCGTTATTATTATCATATTTTCAGAAACTAGCATCAATAAATCTTATATCTTCCTTATAAGTCTTATGATCCTCATCTAATAGAAAGACTTGAGCTATCGGATCATATATGGTGTCTAAATTATTTATCTCATAAATAAATAAAGTCATAAATTTTGGTCCAAAAGAGGTTTCTACTATTTGTCTCTTGCCTCTTCTAGGCTCAAATTCAATATCTTAATAACCCTAGCAGGTACACTAGAAGAAGTGAATGACAATTTTTTCTTTTTTGTTTCTACATTTAATCTAGGCTTTTTTAGAGGAAAATAATCTTAAAAAAATAACATCCTTAGATTCACAAATAAAGTAGTCATAGAAACATGAACATGTATGCGGCACTATTTGTAGCATACCCTATAAATACAGTATTATCAGTTTAAAACTGATGGTGTACTTCTTAAAGTATAACAAACCCACTTTAGGCAAACACCCCCACACTTTTAGATATTGTAGATTTGGAGCGTAGCCTTTCCATAATTTGTATAGGGTAGAATCTAATTTCTTGTGAGGTAGTCGGTTCAAAATATGATTTGTCGATAGAATTGGTTCCCTCACATGTTATCAGACAATCCAGAATTTATCAATATTGAATTCATCATCTATTTTTAAAAGTTTTGTTTTTCCTCTCTCGGTTATACCAATATGTTGAGGAAAATATGAAGCATAAATTTTGTGAATTATGTCATTATTATCACACACCTATTTTAAGAAATTTGATCCATATTCACCACCTCTATAGATCTAACCCATTTAATTCTCCAAGTTGATTTTCAATTTATGCCTTATAAATAAAGAAGAAGTTCTCAGCTTCATCTTTAGTTCTTAGGAGATAAACTTTTGTGTATCTCGAATAATCATCCATAAAAGTGATATAATAACGTTTTCATCATTTTCTCTTAGTGTTTCTAAAGTCTGCTAGATCAATATGTATAAGTTCTAACAATTCAGTCTTTCTCTTAGAAATTGTCTTAAAATGAGGCTTAATATGCTTGGCTTCTACACAAATTTCATATTTGTTAAAGCTAGTTTCGTCTAGTTTAGGCAGAATATTCATTTTAATCAGTTTCTTTAAAGAGTGAATATTCATATGTCTTAATCTAGCATGCCACATATTAAGAGTTTCAGCAGTGTAAACGGAAGTCATAGCTTTATTTTCATTAAGCTGAGTTTCCATGGAAAATAAACCTACATTTAAAAAATCTTTCCCTGCATAATCACTATTTCGTGAAAGTACAAGTTTATCTGCTCAAAACTAGCTTAATGTATGTCGTATTCAAAACCTCTCCACTTATTAATTTCTACATATGCATGTACATATAAAACATTATTTAGGCTAAAGTTTTACTAGAAGTCAGCTTGAGTAAAACCTTGCATTTCCTAGCACTTCAGAGCTGCTAGAGTTCTCATTGCACACACGTTGACCTTTGTTCCCATCATTGAAATCGGTGAAAAACTTTTTCTTGCGCAAAAATGTCTAGAAGCGTCGGTGTCCACGACCCACTCAGTATTATTCTCCACCAAATTTACCTCTGCAACCACCACTGCGATGATATGAACATTGGTTTTTTGAAGTTGGTTCCCTTTTGGCGTTTCCTCTTCTTATTCTGATTTTCTCTTTTCCCAGTTTTTTTTTTTTTTTGAATTTAGACCCTGAGGCAGCACCAGACTCAACCAAGTTAGCTTTAAAGGATACTTGACTAAAAGAGTTAGCAACCTTATCTTTCAAACAAATAGCCTCCTCTATCTTCATGTGGCCCACAAGCTCCTCAAGTGAAATGTTTCTTTTTTTTGTTTGAGAGATTTGCAGTAGTTAAACAAGGACTTGGGAAGCTTCTTGATCAGAACGTTGGCTTGTAACACTTCACATATCTACATTCATTCAGCAAGAATGTCGGAGACCAGATTTTCGTAATCATGGACTTTATCCATAATCGGTTTGTCATGGGTCATCTAGAATCTCAGTCACTAGCCAACAACGTATTTCTTGATATCCGTATCATCAGAGCCATACTTCTTTGCAAGCGTGTCCCATATTGTCTTGATACTTCTTTCTTTGAGAAACATGTCGAAGAGTTTGTTTGACATGTGACTATGAAAATGGCCATGCATCGTCTTGTTATTTTTTTTCAAAATTTTCAACTACAACGACGACGGAGGCGGCATCAGGCATAACTTCATCATCGATTGCAGTAGCGTCTACTACAATAGAACTGATCGTCGGGTGGTAGGTGATGCTTCAGTAGAACATATTCTAAGTCAAGATGCTCGAAGAAAATCAATATCCGATGGATCATTTGTGGTAATTAGACTCATCTAGTGCATCAAGCTTGAACAAATCAAGAATAAGTTTGCTCAATGGTGTCGACATTTTGCAGTAAATTTGAATTTGTTTCTAAATTGTTGGAAATTTGTTTCTAAATTGTTGGAAATAATATACTGCAAAACTATATCGTTAACACTAACAGGACAATTTAAACAAAAATAATTGAATAGAATAATTGGAATCGTGTCTGGTGAAACCATTATATTATAAACAAATTTGCCCTTATGTTTTATTAATTAAAATGATGTTTGATTAATTCATCACATCAATCCAATCATTGAAATAATTAACTAATTAATGTTGTATTATTATACTGATAAAAGACATTTTTTATTAGTTATAAGTAATTAATATTTTTGTTTTGTATAGCTGTATTGTTTCTGATAAGAGGGACTGAAACAATAATTATATCTAAATTAATTAAAGACAAGACGATAGTGCTTATAATTCAATAAACCAGTTTAGGTGACAAGAGAAAACAACAGCAGAAAGTTCTTCAAATGGAAGAACTTCTGTGGGGGTGGAACTTGCCTATCTTCCATAAGCAAGAAAACAAAGATATAATCCCTTAACACCTAAACAACAACATATATATACATATACATATATATATATATAATCAAACATTATCACAATATCACCCCAAAAATAATCAAACATTAACTTTACTCAAGTTCTTCCTTTGTTCCATGAATTTATGGATTCTTTCGAGTGCAACCCCAAGTGTTTGCTCACTCATGTTGGCGAAACAGACCCTAAACCACCCCGGCTCCGAGCAATGGCACGAAGATCCCGGCGAAATATTGAGTCCCACATCGTTTAATATAATCTTCCAAAGAGCCAACTCGCCGGCCGTCGTCGGTTCATCCAAAAAGGAACTCAAATTCATCCAACAAAACAACCCCGCATTGCCTTTCAAGCACTCGATCCCGGCTTTCTTCAACCCCAGTATGATCGTTTCGTGTCTCTTGCTCAGCCTCTCACGGTTCGTCTTTATGTAGTTTTCGGTGAATTCCTTGTTGGACAACATGCAGGCCAAGAGGTGTTGCGTTTGGGAAGAAATCAAAGTGAAGCTCGACATCCTCCTCGCCGTCGTGACGACCTTGTCGTTGTAGGAATATATCGTTCCGACTCGGAAACCAGGGAGGCCGAGATCTTTAGATAGACTGTAAACTATGTGAACTCTTTCGGTCTCGACATTATTGTAGCCGCGGTCTCGGAGAATCTCGGCAATGCTTATGAATTCCGACGGCGAGAATGTCGACCCGGAGTAGATTTCGTCGGAGATGAGGTGAATGTTTTTACGTACGACAAACTCGAGAATCATCTCGAGTATCGACCGTTGGACAGTTGAACCTAGAGGGTTCGACGGGTTTATTATGAGGACTCCTCTAACGTTCAAGTTCATTGATTCTGCATGTTCATATGCAGCCTCGAGTGCTTCCGGTGTAACTTGGAAATTGTTTGAGCTATCACAATGGATCGGCACAATTTTCACACCGGTCCTCCACCTCAAATCTCTATCGAATCTGAAGAAGAAAAAGCATGATGTTTAAAGGTATTTGCATGAGAAATTAACAAAGTTTTTAGAAAGTTTCAAGTTCACCGCGATTCCGTCAACCGCGTCCTAATATAGAAATATAGTTATTTTTAAGAAGTAAAACACATCGTAACGTCTTGGCATCTGTAATTAAGACACCGCAACCGCAACTTACAATTTAGTACTTACCCTGGATAGTACGGGGTCGGAACAAGCAAAGCATCACCGGGATCTGCCAATATGAAAGTCAATAGCTCATTGGCTGCAGTTGCGCCTGCAGTTAACACTATTCTATCGGGGTCGAATGTCGCTCTTCCTCCCCTTATTTGCTCCATGAAATTCGCCATTGCCTGTACGCATAAGCACACATGCTTCAGTACAAGTACATACATTCATACATACATACACAAATGCATACGTTAAAGTACCTGTCGGAAAGATTTGAGGCCATGATAGTCTTGAAACAAGGCGTTTTCTCTGAAACCAGGAGCTCCTCCACCCCAGCTACATGCTTCGGGGTGATCTTCCAAGTACTTCTCCAGCAAATCAAAAGAAACCTGTCCACATCAACAAAGATCATTACACGACAACATGAAAACTGCTTCATCTTCAACTCTCTGGTCTTGTCTTAAAATCTTTACTTACTTGATTCTCAGCAAGTCCCATCTGTATAACACCAGACTGGTTATCTTCTTCGTGGTAAGGGTTTTCATCGTACGCTTTCCACCCCGCGAAATACGGCGAGTCTTCGCCATGGGTATTGGAAATTGCAACTCTTGATAATCCAACAGAAGGTTGTTCGATCTCTATAGCCATTAAACTGAAGCTCAAGGAGGAAGAGAGAAAAGAGAGGAGAAGGAAGAAGAAGAAGGCTTGGAATGTGAAGCATTTATGAAAGAGTAGGGCTTTATATACAGAATTTTGACACAGAAAATAATGCTTTACAACTTGCATGGAGAATTAATTCTTTTTACAAAAGGGTAAACTACACATTTAATACCTAAATTATTTTTTTGTTTTATTTTAATGCTTAAATTTATTTTTTTTAACCATACCTAACATTTAGATATTATTTAAATTAAATATTAGATATGATTTTTTTAAAAATTAAAATTTAGTTATCAGAATGAAATAAAAATAATAATTAAAATATTAAACATGTAATTTACCCTTAAAAAAGGAAAAAATAAATTAATAATTATTTTCTGTGTAGAGTGACAACTGTTAGCTTCTGTCACCTTGTCAAATCATTTTTTATATCTCAATCTCCATGAGATACCATACCAAAATATGGCGGTTGATAAATGTAAGGGGTTGGTGTTTATTTTGGCTTTTGATTCTTTATATCCATCTTTATCAACTAAATGATTTTCAAAAGTTAATCATAACATTTTTTACATAAATTAAATAAAATAGTGACATTTTATTCTATAATGTCAGAATTAGTTCAAACATTTATATTATTAATTATTTAAGTTAAAATGTTAATTTCAACTTACCCTATATTAATAAAAATAAGATTGAGAATACTAGCTCAGGTAACACACGCTCTAGGGTTTGTTATATGTATAAATCTCCGACTAAATCAAATCATAAACTTTATTATAGCTCTAAGAAATAATCAAGAACAGACGAATGAATTTATGTCATGAAGCGAAAAATTTAACAAGTTGTATTAAAATTTCAGGAGGTATGAAATTACAAAATTTTAAAAATGTGGAATTAGATTATCAATAGAAAAGACAAAGAGAATATCAAAATTATACGAACATTTAATTTTTTTAGGAGTACAATCGTCCCTAGAATCCCGCTCGATCCTCGGAAGTAGCTATATATTAGCATATAAGTTGTAAGAGATGTTTTGAAGGTGAACTCTCAAATTATCTGGAACAATTAGTGACATTATAAAAGTAGTGTGATATAATCAAGTCAAATCAAAAAAATAAAGGACTAAACCCTAGATTTCAGTATAGTAAAGGGACTGAAAACTGAATTTGGTCACGAAACTTGCTTAGTGAAACCCTAACACAATTATAAGGAGAGAGATCTAAGAGTAGTTAAGTTGGGATGACCCGACAAAGATCCCAATTTACTGAAGATTAAGATTCTGATTTGGGACAAAACAGAAGCTCAGAGAAGATTTCATGGCCCCACTCACATTATTAGTCCAATGCAACATAACTTATTACTCCCCTTGTTATGTATAAGCATCCATTTAATCTTAGTTTAAGTTCTATAATGCCCTATTATTATCCAAAGATATTTGGATTTAAGTTCAAATATTTTTTTGATTGTAGTTAATATGAACGTATTATTTATCATTTAACAAAAAAAAAAGATAGTAATAAAAAAATTTATTGACGGTATCAAGATTTAAACTTTTCATGAGCGTTTAAGGGATATAACATTTCATTATGTTAAAATGGTAGGTAGTTTATAAGATTTTAGGGTTTGGATATTACACCCCTTCACCCATCATCCAACCCGATTTGGGTTTAGAGAGATTCCACCGACCTGAAATTCGATCTATTTTTTAAAGAAAAAATCCGTACTCTACTTGACTCGAGAAAGGGATCGGGTCAGAGATTTTTTCACCTCAAGATTGAATTCAATACGATCTTGTCCTTAAAAAGATTGACTCGAATCCAAGTTCTTTTAGAAAAAATGACTTATAAAATCGGATGAAACCCATCAGATTCGACTCCCATACTCATCCTTATTTAATAATATTTAATTTTTTTTCGATTTAAATTTAGTTACATTTTGATCGTAGTCATATGGACTATGATGAAATTTTATGATCATTTTTTCTTATATAATCAATTATATTTAATCTATTCACCGACCAATTTAAATTAAGTATAGTAAAAGTTTATTAGTAATTCTTCTAGTTTTTTTAAATTCACAACGTCAACGTTTAAACCCTAATCTTATTTAATGCCCTAAAATCTCCATGTAGACGACATATAGTTGGTAGGGTTCTCTGATTTTAATCATCTGATGATTATGATAGGCTAAAACTAATCATTAGGTCGTCAACGGCCTAATTAACTAAAGTCAAACTAACTTATTCTAGTGATTTGTCCTTCCTAAGTACTTACATTAAAATATAATTTGCATGCTAATTAAGTTTTTAAATGACTAAGTAGGTTCATACTAACCAAGCATGTGCTTCTCTTCGTTTGTCAAATAAATAAATAAATGTAGGTATATGCCTACATGAAAGATCTTTGTCAAGATTATGTTGGGTTTTATTTTTTTATCTAAAAAATTAAAATATTATATAATAAATTTGATTTTTATTATAGATTTCAACGAATTAAAATATATTTGGTCGGTGTGAAGGATGTTGCAACCTGTGAATAAAGAACAAATATTAAGATTGGATAAAATAAATAAATTTTCAAACTTTTTAAACAAAAAAAATAAGTTTTTTAAAAATAAAAAAATTAATTAAATGTTTATGTCGTTCATCATTCACACGGGATGAATATCATAAATAATCGTGTTTAGGGTGTACGATTTAGAGTTTAGAATTTAAATTTACGATTTATATAGGGATGATGACGAGTTCGTAACGTGATGAAATATGCACATGCATTGCCGACTTCGTATCTCAATGCAAATTGCGTCCTTTTCTTAGAAGTGATTTTGGGTCGGATTCGTATACGTACGTTATTAATATCATAAATAATCGTGTTTAGCTTGAAATTTAAACTTACAAATTTCATTTAAGTTTATATGTAGCACATTATACTTTTAAGGAGAGAATCCAGATTTAAATCTTCGAGACGCGTTGAAAGGACAATTATAACTCTGAACATAATCGTAAAACGAACATACAAATGATTAATCTAATTTATGTTTAGGTCTAGGTCCAGCATAGTTTAAAAACTACGTAAAAAAAATTAGCTAACCCTTATTCCCATATGTAATGGGGGAGGGGAAGGTAGATAGTAGGCTGCCCCAACACCAGGTTGAGAGCAGTTTCCATGTAAGACCTCCGAATTATGAATTGTCTACCGTGGACTCGATCCCACGACCCCAAGATTAAGAGTCTGTGCTCTACTAACTGAGCTGGACATACAATTCTTAAAAAAAAACTACGTAAACTTATTCATATTTGTAGAAGGAATAATAACCAGCTGGGAGTGTATGGGTTACGTGATTAGGAGACAAATTTATTACCAAACAAAACAATTGATTCCCATGTTATGAACGTATAACAATCATGCATGATGTAAGAAGAACAGACAAAGTCCATGAATCCAGCAGCTGTGCTTCAGAACTCCTTAACCAAGCATTCGTGTCCTTCTTCAACACCGTGTAAAATTAATATCCCACATCGGTCACATTGTCTGCAAAACCCAAGCAAGTAGCAACACTCCCTTTTAGACAGCTCAATCAACCACCTTTTATATACACATAGCAGATTTGAAATCTCTCTTTTCTTTTACGATTCTTATGTAAGGCTAATTAAGTCTTAAACTCAATTAGTATTATCATTGTTGTAATATCTCGATCGATAGTATTATTATTGAAAGACCTATAAGGTATTAGGTTCGAGCAGGGACGCACATATATCGGGTTTGAAATACTTTTTCTTTTGGTTTAAGATTCTTACGTAAAGTTAATTGAGTCTTAAGCTCGATCAGTGATACTATTTTTCTTGTAATATCTCGGTTAATATTATCATTATTGTAATATTTATAAAGTCATAAGTTCGAGCAGTGACAAAACTAAGGTTCAATTCTAAAAAAAGTTGAATATACATAATTTTTATTAAAAAAAATAACTGTAGCTGATTGTTAAATCTCTACATAAGATATTTTAAAGTTAAACTATGTATTCAATACATAAACTATCATTTTTGGTTCATTTTAGTACTTAAACTTTTAATTTTTTTCTAAAATTATATCTAATGTTTAGTTTTTGTTTCATTTTAGTACCACATTGTTAAAAAAACTTAACGTGTTTAGTACCTAAAGTATCTGTTTTAGTCCTAAGCTTTCAATTTTTTCAAAATGTAACTTTAAATTTACTAAAAGTAATATATCTAAAACCAAAAGATGGGAGGGGCCAAGGGTCAATTTACTAAATTTCAACATTAACAATGGCCTTGAAGATAATTAAATAAATAAATAATTTAGGAGACCATGACCTCTTCACATGAAATGTATTATATATATATATATTACACAATGTAAAACTCTATAGTTTTACACATATTGAGGACCGTTGGATGAGTGAAAATAGATGGTTGAGATTAATTCCTTGTTTTTTTCCAGTGAATATCTTCTCATATCTTACTGTTAATCTCAATCACCTATTTTCTATCATCCAACGATCCTAAATCTGTGTAAAACTAAAAGAGTTTTACATTATGTAATAGAATATTATCTCATATATATATATATAACTTGAGATAGGCAGACAGACAAGGGACAAGAACAGGCTATCCTAGTCTACATTTAACTTGTTAATTTTGAAGATAAAATACTATTATTACCAACCCCCAACTAATAATCAACATAAACAAAATGTCCAAAACCAGGAAATTACAGACAAAATCCAATAAATCTTGAGCTTTTGTCTAGAAATTGACTCCATCTCTACCATATGTTTATTATTTTCATGTTCAAAATTCGAAATTGGAATATCATCTCTGATGTTCGAATATGAACTCGACGTATCCATAGAGATTTCATGCAAAATCTTAAACCATATTCTAAATTTTTTTATCGTATTTTTCTTAACGATTATATAATCGAATCTTAATTCGATTAATTTGAAAAATCGAAAATTTAACTAAACAATTTGATTCTTGATGTAAGATTTTCTTATTCCTTCAATTCCTTCCTTTTGA